TTTTTGAGATGAATTCTTCTTCGTGTGATTTGTTGTCAGGCTTTTCATGCTGTTTTTAGGTCGGATATTTAATAATAAATAAGATAAAGTATTAGGTTTTCGTAAGAGTTGCTGGTAAAGGGGTTGGAAAGTATAAAATAGAATCTATTGATTGATTTATGTTTCTGATCGTAGTTAAACTTTATTGTTTGTGCGATTGTTTCAGAGAAATATGATCGTAATTTTAGGACGATATATGTTGGTTTTAATATTATGGACATTTTTATATCGATAGTTGAAAGCGATTTGTACGAAGGGGGAAAAATATATGTTACAATTGTGGTATCGGATATTCTAAAAGAGATGCCAGATAAGGAAGAATCGAGAATCTGGTAAATTCAGTAGAAGCGTCGAAAAGAAATGGTGCCGTTGGCCGACCAGCTTTTATACTCTCGTTTGACCTCGAACAGTTCGCTGCTCTATTCCCCGGGCATCGATACCAAGGAAGTCGATCGCCGAGGTCACCACTCGAACTATTTCCCGTTTCCACGACGCTCGAGATTTTGTCACAGATCGCTAACCAAACCAACGCTGTATCGAATAAATAAGAGCACTTGCAATTTCAGAAATCAACAATCCAATCTATCTACATCGGTTATTCGAAAATGAGCTCGACTTTCTTTACTTCTTAATTAGAAATTGAAATAGGAATTTTACTGAAGTATAACGCAAAAATTAAAAATATTCTATTTAGAGTTGTCACAACATAATTGTACGAAATAATAATAATCATTCAAAACATAAAACACGTCTGTATCAAATGCAATTTCTTTGCAATTGTCACGCGATTCTACAAAATGTTTCTGATTAACCTATCGCATCTATCTTAACGAATCAAGTTCCTACATCATCCAAACGAAATTTAAGAAAAAGGAACGAAACGCAAGAGAAAGATTAGCCTACATTTGAAACATCTTGATCCCCAATTTCTTATCCTCATCCCCAACAACTGTGTCACTGGAGTGCAGTGCACCCCGAAAAATCGCCGGCCGATTAACCGCGAAGAAACATGCCCCGGCGAAACGGCTGCATAGCGTGGGGTGTCGTGTTTCACGGGGTGGCTTTATCGGGCGTAGAGGAGCGTGACGTCCGATTCCGCGCGGCGG